CAGAATTCCCCAGCCAGCATGGCTGGCTGGGGAATTCTGGGAATTGAAGTCCACGTATCTTGAAGTTGTCAAGGCTGAGAAATACTGAGTTAGACTGACAAAAGCAATGTTGTGACACCACAACACACACTGCCCATTTCAGGCAAACATGTGATGTCACAGTGTTTGTTGAAAAGGGGGTGGGGCTTGCATTGTGATGCCACAATGCTGCCTTTATCAATTTGGCCCTCCCTTGTCCCTCCCTCATGGATGCCTACATTTGAAGATCCTTTCTAGTTCATTAATATCATTTCACCAGATGCCTGCCAAAGAAATGTAGGAACCTTTCTGTCAAACTCATTGCCATTCTCTCATCAGACGCCTTTCTTCATATCACTGAGCATATATGATCAAATTCTATAACCTTAGAGATAATGTGCTCTCTACCTAGTTCACATAATGCAGTATGTATTTGATCCTCTAATATGTAGAATAAATGACTCACCAGTCTCATTACTGTGGAGGAAAAGAGGACGCACAATTTATGCTGGCATACTTTTCTACCAGCTCAAAGATTGGGGGATAACACCAGGAGTGTCTGCAGGGAGGGGGTTAAAAAAACAACAACGAAGAAGCCATACAATCAAAGCCCCAGCCCTTTTTTCCATGAGTGACAGATTAGAATCACTATATATTTCTTCGGCACCTTTTGATACAAAGGTAAAACCCAGAAAGAAGAAAGGTGAAATGCTTTGAGCATACTTTGATCACCACTTGCTGTGCCTCTTTCTGAAAAAGCAGAAAACAGTTACCAGCTATCCACATGTCAAGGGGCTGAGCTGTTTTCTGATGGGTAGATGCACACTACTGTCCATCCAGAAGGAGAACGATGGAGCCGAATGTTGTCCCTGTCTCTTTCCCAATACCTTACAGCCATCACAGACCTCTAGTCCCTGTAAAATGGGCCCTTTGCACCATCACTTTAGTATTGTGTGTGTGTGTGTGTGTGTGTTTATTTTAAGAGAGAAAGAATGCTTCCAGCAGCCACTTCACACCTTTCATTTTTGGGAGTCAGTTTAGGCAGAAAGGGCCTTTGCACTGACTAGAGAGCCTACAAGAGGGCATTTCACTCTCTGGCATCAGTGCCCAGGACCCCAGCGTCACCCATGCATGTGGAACAAGGGAGGCTGCCTCTTCAGTTCTGGTCCACTAGCCAAGCAAACTAACCAGGGAGAGGAGGTCTGCTGTTTCCAACCCTACTAATTGCCAGCTTTGGTCAGCCTTGTGGGGACCCTTTCCAGCCCAGGAAGTCAGGAGAGCTGGGGGGACAGCATGTGGACTACTCCTCCCACTCATGGGTTCAGTTGGAAAGGAGGTTCTTGGATGTGGATGGATCCACCAGACTGTCTGCAATGAGCATTTTCACTGCTGTGTCCTCACAACAACCCTTCCTCTTGACAACCACATAATCAAACAAACCTGTCCTGCAGAGGCCAGTTCCCCAGTTTCTGAGTTGTCAGGGCAGGTGGGAAGGAGGCAGAGACATGGAACTCCCTTTGGTTGCCCCAACTTTCTTTCTGAAGGAATTTAGCTAGCATAATGAAGAGTGGTTGGTCAATTTCATCCTTTCTTCCTGCTAACCCTGATACTGACAAACGGGGTGTGGCAGTGACTGCTCGTTAGGTTGACCAATCAAGCTAAAGGTTCAAGAAAACAATATTGAGAATAGCTGCAGAAGGTTTGGTCTCCCTCACAAAGAGCACGGAGGTATAGATGTACAGAGGTATAGCCCAGTGACTGGATGGAAGGAGAGGGTTCCATGTCAGATCAAATGGAGCCAAGCAGGTCATCATCCGGACTGCATCACTTCAGCCTTCCTCCTCCAAGTGCCATGAACTATCTGGGGGAAAGGAGGTCAACTTCCATTTTTCCAGAAAAAGCACTATTTCCATGCTTCATCTTTCTTCATCTCCATCTTGGCCCGGCTTCATCTTTCTTCAGCAGCAGCCTGTCTATGAGGGGAGGCATCCTCAGGAATTCTATGTATGGCAAGGAGGCTGGGTGGATAAGCCCATAACTAGGACACCACCATTCAACAGAGCACCCGATCAGGTGCAATAGAGGTAGGATAGGGAGGGTCAGCAATGGGGGGAACACATTTCAGCCACTGTCATTTCCTGATGACTCAAACATGGGTGGTTGTTGTTGTTCAGTCATTAAGTCATGTCCGACTCTTCGTGACCCCATGAACCATATCGCGCCAGGCCTTCCTGTCCTTCACTGCTAATTAACTTGGGATAATTCTAATTAACTTGGGATAATTCTAATTAACTTGGGATAATTCTAATTAACTTGGGATAATTCTAATTAACTTGGGATAATTCTAATTAACTTGGGATAATTCTTGGAACGTAAACTGACCTTTTCCAATCCCGTGGCCACTGTTGCATTTTCCAAACTTGCTGGCATCAGAACAGTGCTCACGAAAGATTGGTTATTTTTTGCATTTAAGAAAATGGTAGAGGAAGCAGTGAGGAACATAAATTGACCCATGGAAAACATGCAGTGGAGGATATAATTGATTGACTCTGTAACATTCTGTGAATGATAGTGGGTGATTTCACACTGAAGGAGGAAATGCACATGGCAAATGTGTCAACTAAAAATTTGATGCAGCAATCTAACAGTTCATACGTTCTGCATGGCAATAACATGGAATTGTTGTTTTTTTAGGATCCCACTGTGAATTGCCAGTCTGATGAAATGAACAAAGCCACAAGGAATTATCCCAAGTTAATTAAGGTAGCTTGGAGGCATCCATCTCTAAATATGATGCAACATTGTTAAGTAATGGAAAATATGCTGCTGTACGTGTGCAAGCCCATGCACTGGGTGGTTCATATTATATAAACAACAGCTGGGAGATGAAAGAGAAAAGAAAGCAAAGATAAACCAAGAAAAAACATGTATTTATTTCACTTAAATAACCTTGATTCTAGTAAATCAGGGAATGGCAGAAGGTAGATTTGGATTTACTGATTGCCAGCCCCCTGTTTTTTATCAGCAACAACCTAAAAATAGAATTTGTCTCCCCGAATTAGGCTGAAATGGAGAAAAATTAGGAGTGGGTTAGATGTGTGTGCATGAAAAGACTGAAAACATAGTTTTAGGATTAAAAATGCTCCTGGACTGAGCTTATATTCAGAGGCACCCTGGTAAAACTAACTACAATTTTCACACATCTCTCAACCATTATTTCATACCTAGAGGATCTAAAGATTCTTGGGAAGGAAAAGTTCCCCAGACGGATAACTCTTGTGTGCTGATGTTTACCCACTATTATAGTTAGATTTGGAAACTGAGGGAGTGGGTGAAAGGCTTGATGGAAAAGGTGGGTTTCAAGCAGAACTCTGAAGGAAGAAAGGAATTCCACTTCATAAGAGTTAGGAGTCTTCATAGGAGTCTGGGAGTTAGATCCAGGATAAGGGACAGCAAGGCAGAAAGAGAAGTATTTTGGGGTTATGGGAAATATTTGGATAGTGGGGGTTGATGGAGATGAATGAGCAAGGTTCTTGGAGAGGGATATATTAGGATAAGGACTTGGAAGGAAGGAAACCTAAGAATGAGCACCTCGTTTTGAAGTACGCTTAACAAAATGCAATAAAAATATCAGCTACTCAAGAACTAATCTGTATCTAATTTTGAACTAATTTCAACCTACTCCTCTGTTCCTTGCAAGGCCAATTCATTCAAGAAATCCACTTGGATAGAAGAAACTGAATGTTTACAATACTCTGAAGGACAGGTCTTTATCCTTACGGACACAGAGGAGGAATCATACTACTCCAGGCCCTCCGAGATAAAGAACAGGAAGGGCTGGGTTAGCATGATTCCTCCTCTGTGTGTAGTAGGACAGAGACCTACTTCAGAGAGCTTTAGTTGAACTACCTCAGTTTCTTCCATCCAAGTAGATTTCCTGAATGAATTGGGCTTTCTGTACTAGGAACACAGGAATAGGTTGAAATGTACTGATACCTTCCTGGAATTGTATCAAAGTCACAGTTGCCTTTTAATTTTTGTTTGTTTGCGTGGATCACTTGGGGCATGTCCAGTTTCTTAAATATTTTTCATAAATGGTGTAATTCATGATGGAATTGCTTGATCATTAACACGGCTAGTTCCCCAAATAATTATTCCCAACTTAATGGAGGCAGTAACATCACAGTTGGGTCATCTGGTGCTCTTGCTTCTGACTTATTTTTTGAAGAAATAGTAAGAAATAATTTCTTCTTACCAGCCTGGGACAGAGCTCTGACCTAAAAATGTCCCCCATTGTTTCTTCTTTTGTGGTATTATTATTCACAAGGGAATATATTAGGAGGCCTGTTATGTATGGCAATACTGGTTTGATCAAAATAGACATTACTTGTCAAATTACTTGTCATTTAAGAAATCTAACAATTCCTGAAAAAGTTGTTTTAAGTGCAGCTGGAATATTTCTTTAACTCCACTGTTTTCTTTCTAGCAATGTGCAGTTGATGAATATGTTATCTACAAGTGTAATCTTGGACAGATTAATTCATCTATAATCCATATTACTGGGATGATGTATACCAAAAACAATACAGAGGTAAAAACAGCTAGATAACTAACAAAGGATGACAACCCCGTTCCTCTTATATCTGAAACCTGGAGAGTGGGAAAATTTATTTTTCCCTCATCTAATAGACCTTGGTTCCAATTTATTCAACATCTGAATATTTAAGTAGGCAGGACATTCATTAAGCTTGTGGACTGCAAAGGAAAGGAATTATAGGCCTGCAGTAAACTGAGATGAGGAGTTAGGGAGAGGCTGTGACATGAGCAAATCTCTAATCTAGCTATCTTTCTACTGTGGACATTATACAGGTTTCAAAATAACCTGATATTACACCATGATATGATTTGTTTGGTTTAGCTTAGCATGCTATATGGACCCAGCTACTGTGGATTTTTAACCATGGTTTCTAGTGGAGTATGAAGCAAACTCAATTCTGGTTTATTCTACAAAGTATGGTTTAGCAGGCCTAATCTTAGCACAAGTTAAGAAGCCAGAAACCAGATTTTCATTTAATTTGATTTTGATATGCTGGGAATTGAATCAGGGATTAGGCCTAATCAGTGTACACATTTTCTGTGTTACTGACCGATAGCCCTTCTGTAATTTTGGATATTTTGTGTATAAATTATACAGTATTTCTTTTTTATTTATATCAATATATAAAGATGCTAGAGCAGTATTTCTCAGCTTTGGCAACTTTAAGACGGGTGGACTTCAACTCCCAGAATTCCCCAGCCAGCATGCTGG